TTAGTGCACTGGGTTTTATGATGTTTAGACCGTGACTGGATGTGCTTAGGTGTTTGGAAAACTTATATAAGGATCATCTTTAAACAACATAATGTTGATGCGGAATTAATATATACTTGAATATGTTGGATGAAATATGATGTAGGGAAATGATTATAGCGTTGCATATTCCCTGGTTGTTGTAGTTTTATGAATGGTTTCGAGATTCTTGAAAAGTCATTATGTGTGAATTGATGCTAGGATAGAATTTGTGGTTGTTATGTATGATTGAAAATATATGATTTCTGGAAATATAGTGGAATATTGGAGGAACCGAGAATGATGCTCTATTTCTCACTTTTGACATGCTAATCAAAGTATGATAAACTTGGTTGTAGTGTGAGTATGTTGTATGAAGAAAATTTACTAGCTGTCCTTTTTCTTTCTAGAAATAGAATTAGGAATTTTACTACATAATAATTAGAGAAGATTAGAGTTTCTAATCTGACATAACATTGTTAGATCTTTAAACATTCCTTAAGCACATAAATTATATGTTTTACTGCACTGAAATGTTATTGAGTGAATGGTATGGACGCTAAGGATGCTTTAAAAGAGAATAAGTTAACACCGAGCGTAGTGCAGTTATGATTTGATGTAATCAAGTTTGTAACCTTGAGTTATGAATTCTAGGTTAATTTTCTATTGGTTGATACTATTATGAAAGTTGGATTTAGGTACTTGCTAATTCAGAATTAAAAAGTAATGGGTAAGGGTGCTGGAAGAAAAATGTTTGTATGCAAATGGATTGTTATTCTGGATTGTTATTCTGTTTGACTGATTTTGTTTTCATTTAGTCTTAGTGCCTTATCCGGTAGTTGCTGATAATTTAATATTTTTGCCTGATACAGAGAAGAAAGCTGCAAGCCAAGCAACACAGAACAAATGCATGTGTATTATCTTATAGCATCCAGATTGAATAACAGATGTCATTTATCTTAGAAGGTTAGGGACACTTCATTTTTACGTAACCTGCGGCGTTGAAGATTTCAACATACACACATTATTTGGTTGCATGTCTCATTCATACTACAGGCAAAGAGTACTGGACTGTTTACCTAAAAAAATCACTTTACTTGGTGAAGATTGTGAAACTAGTAGTTCCCTGATTCCTGTGAAGAAAAGGGGGTTCATCATCACCCGTCAGTGGATCAGGTACTGCAAATTGGTTTGCTGCCTCCCACACCATTGGATCAAAGATATATAGAGCCAATAGAGCAAGTTTAGCAACAGTTCGTTTAGATGAAAATGATGTGAAAGAACTGGAAATGTTACTAGAGGTTATGTTACTTGCTTCAGTTTCAGTTTGGTGGAAATATATCTGCAAGTCAAAAAGATGTCATGTTGGAAATGCATATGCAGTTTAAATTGTAAACTAAGATTCTCAGATAAGAAGGTTGAAGACTTGGAATAAGACCCATTAGTCTGCATCTTTGATATCTGGGGAATTTAGAGAGGAGGGGAGATGATTTGTAGTGAACATTATTTTTTAATCTATGGGGCCCACTTGACTTGTTTGAAGAGGTTTGCTTATATTTATGTACAAATAATATATTAAATATTGTTAGACATTTTAACGTATGAAATGAATTCTATTTTGTTTATTGATTATAATATATGTTATATTGATTATATATTGATTAGATAAAAAGATAATACCAGGAAATTTTATTGGATGTCAAAATGTAAGCATAATTTTTTTTGACTTAAATGCTTATTTCGTCTCTATGTAAGAGGAAAATTTTTGTTTAGTATCCGATTTTAAAAATAAAAACATTGGGTCTCTATGTTATGAAAAATATATGAATAAGGTCCACAAAGAAAGAACAAGTTGAACAAATTATCAAAGAAAAAGCTGAACAAGAGAGAAAAAGCTGGACAACAGAAGAGAAGAAAAAAAGTACGGTCACATCAGCATGGACTTAACATCGTTGCTGTCAATTTAAAGGAGAGAACCTTATTCATACATTTTTCATAGCATAGTGACTCAATGTCTTCATTTTTAAAATCGGGTACTAAACAGAAATTTACCTTTTAATATGAGAACGAAGTAAGCATCTAAGTAATTTACTTTTTAATATGAGAACGAAGTAAACATTTAAGCTTTTTTTTCTTAAACCACCTTTTATGACGTGGATCATAATGTATGTTATAATATATTAATTTTGATATTATATATTAATTTTGATATTATGATAGGGAAAAAGAACTACATTATAATATGTTAAATCTATTATAAGGTACGATTTTTTCACTAATGTATGTAACTCATAATTATATATAATAATTTACATTACACTAATTTTTCTACTTTTACTTGTTATGTCATTTTCTCTCTTACTAAATACTTATATTCACAATATACCATATTATATATATATATATATATATATATATATATATA